AGCACCTCCTGCGGCAGGGTCAGCAGTACCACCAACTCTAGGGTTCTCAGACCCAGCTGCTCCAGCGTCGCCTGCTCCTTGCTCACCAGCGCCAGTACCCTATGAACCGGCACCCCCTGCTGCAGTGACGTCAGCAGAAGCGCCTCCAGCGGCAGAGCCCCGAGCTCCAGCAGCGCGACCCTGACGGCGAGCGTACCACTCGTGTAGCTGCTGTGGGGAGAGAGGCTCACGCCGACGAGTGTGACTATGCAGGCAGCCACTCCAAGGAGACCGCTCACCAGCAGCCTCAGTACCCTCAGGCTCAGTACCCCCAGACTCAGCACCCCCAGACCCAGTACCCCCAGGTTCCTCACGCTCAGGCTCAGCACCCCCAGACTCCGCACCCCCAGGCTCAGCACCCCCAAGCTCCGCACCCCCAGGCTCCGCATGCTCAGGCTCAGCACCCCCAAGCTCCGCACCCCCAGGCTCAGCACCCCCAGAGGCAGCAACCCAAGCAGGACCACCCCCAGTCAGACCTGAGTCACCAGTGACCTCAACCGGCGCGAGGCGGGGTCGTAAAACTGCCAGCCAGGCGCGTCAGGAGGGAAGCCAAAGAAGACACAGAGAACCGCGTGAGCAGAGAGCTTGTCCGCGGTGAGATCGCGGACAAAGGCACGAGCACCCCAGACCCAGAAACGCGACGCATCGCCAACCTCCCCCGTCCAACGCAGTGTGGGCGAGGTCTCCGGCAAGAAGACACGGGGCCAGAGGTTGAGCTGATGCGCGGCGTACCGGACCGCAAACGGCCACAGAAAATGGGGAGCAGCCGCATGGATCATGGAGGTACGAGCGACCTCCATGACTAAGCCAATGCGGTGCTCAGCAACCCCATTCTGCTGCGGAGAGGCCAGAAGCGTGAACGACTGGCGGATGCCGTGCTCCTCACAGAAGGCTCGCAAGAGGTCGGAGGTGAACTCACCACCTCTGTCAGAGTGCAGACGCAGGACGGGAAAGTCCGACTGGAACCGCTCGCGGAGCTGGAGACAAACAGCGCGGATCCAAGGGATCAAAACAGTCGGGACCTCACCCTTTGTGCGCCTGGGGAAGACCGTGGTATAGCGTGTGTAGTCGTCGACGACCAGTAGGAAGTACCGCTCGCGGCCCTGCCCCTGGATGCGGGCTGGGCCCCACACGTCCAGGTGGAGAGTCTGCAGTGGAGCCTCTATCGAAGGGAACGAGGAGGAATGAGGAGCGGCGCGCTGCCGCCCCTCGACGCAAGGAATGCAGGGCGGTGCAGGCGAGGGAGGGAGGGAGGGCAGAGACCTGGGAAGACCAGAGACCAGGGAGCGAGAGTGCATGCGACGAAGGCGAGGCAGGGAGGGGTGACCAAGGTGGTGGTGCCAAAGGAGAGTCTGGTGCGACAGGCGGCGACACTCACTGGGTAGTGTCAGAAATAACTGAGCAGGAATGAATGAACTAGAACAGAGTTTGGTACAAGTAGGAAACCCTAACTTTGTGTACCCCCTAAGGTGTAACCCACTACAGCCTAGACAATATAAACATACAATGTTTGACAGGTAGCTACCTGAGCGGACGCGTACAGCTGAGGAGACAAAGGGGCGTAGCGCGACACAATGGTGAGGGTGTACAAACTAGACCCAGTCTCTCGTGTGAACGTGGCCAGGTGGCGGCCAGTCCGAGAGCACGTGCAGATCGCCACACGCTGTCCTCCAGGAGTAAAGGTGTCAACCCAATGATCCTGAAGGACTGCGTTGCTCACCAGGTTCGTAGAGAACGAGGGGATGTGGAGACCTGACAGCTCACCGGACGGGACCGCCGGACACGGGAGCACAGTGGAGGAGCGAGCAAGTACTGGGCCCCCAGAGGGGTCAGCCAGTGAGACAGGAACAGGTGCAGGGAGGGGAGTGACTGTGGTACTGTCGCGAAAGAAGCAGCGGGAAGCACCAGAGTCAAGTGTAAAGGTGTGCAAGGCCTCAGCAGGCGCAGTACCAGAGAGAGCAGACTCACCAGGCCCTCAGATTCGTTTTTGGCCTGTCTGATTTGTCAGACTGGTACACAGTTTTAGTCTGAAACTCTCAGAGTTGGTATTTTAAAAAGGCTGAAATTTCACAATGCCTAAAAAAAAAGTCTGAACATTCGAAATCAATGTATTCAATGTTCATCAGAAATGTATTCAGTGTTCCATTCACCTTACCGAAACTAGACTAGGGGGATTTCGGGAGAACATGCTCTGACGGCGAATCTGCAATGTCAGACGCGAATCTTGTGGTGATTGGGTGAATCTTGTTGTGATTGGGCAAATCTTTTGTCAGAGCGAATCTAGTGGTGTGACAGGGCAAATCTGCAATGTCAAACGCAAATGTTTTGTGATTGGGCAAAATTTTTGTGCTCTGACGGCGCAAATCTGTGGTGTCCGGACGACTTGGCTATGATTGGGCGAAATTTTCATGCCGTAAGGCGCGGATTTGCTATGTCAAGGCGATTTTGCGTTGACAGTGCGATCTGCTGTGACCCGTGAAGTCCGAATCACCAGTCAAGAACTCGTTTGTACTTTGAATTCATCAGAGTACACTCCCGACAAACTCTGAAACGTCGAGTTAGCCTATAAAAAAAAAATCTGATTTTCACAGAGTTGAGGCAAAAAAAAATCTGATTTTTACAGAGTACACCCTAAAAAAAATCTGAAATCTCAGACAAAAACAAGCAAATCAGACAAAAAACTCTGACTTCTGGGGGCCTGAGACTCACTAGCACCTAGAGCAGCAGCCGCTATACCAGGATCAGGGGGCACACACAGGTAACAGTCACCCTCAGTAGTACCAGTCAGAGCACACATGACAGTAAGGATAGTGTCATAGTCTAGAGCAAAGATATCCACCTTGTTGCGCAGCAGCTCTAGCCAGGGGGGGAGCTCAGCCTCATCGCCAAACACTGCACGCCAGGCGTCACTCAGATGGGCAAAGCAGTGAGCCTGTGTGTGAGAGAGCGTCCCGCAAGTCTGACCAGCCGGATCACCTGTGCGAAAGACGTACGGGCAGCGGACAGTACTCCTACACCCCCCACTCTGAGCGTACCACTCACGAAGCTGCTGGCGCGTAAGGGTCTCGCTCGGACGCCGCTGCAGCTGCATCTGGCCACCGCCAGGAACTCCGCACTGACCAGCTCCACCGCGACTGCCACGACGGCCGCCGCCAGCACACCACCTAGCGTACCACTCACGAAGCTGCTGGGGCATAAGGGTCTCGCGCGGACGACGCTGCAGGTACATCTAGCCACCTCCAGACACTCCCCACCGAACAGCTAAACAGCGACTGCTACTACGGCCGCCACCACTCCCACTGCTGCCACCACTGCCATCACCACTCCCACCGCTACTACGAAGTGAAGTCATAGCGGGCAAGCAAGGAGGCGCGCGACCAGTAGGGCAGTACAGAGGGAAGGCAGTAGCACTAGCAGCAATAGCAGCAGTAAGAGCAGCAGAACGGCTCGGTGAGGCTGGGCTGCAGCACCTCCAGCACTCCTAGCAGCACCTCCACCAGCAGCAGCAGTAGCACGAACAGCAGGGCGGATCGGGATGGGCATGGCGGCTCGGGCTGGGCGGCGCGGCTCGGGCTGGGCGGCGCGGGCAGCAGGGTGCGCGCTATGTAGGGCAAATAGCAGGGCGCGACGCGCGGGCTGCAGCAGGGCGCGACGCGCGGGGCAGCAGGGCGCGACGCGCGGGCTGCAAGGCGGACGGGCGACGCGACGGGCTGGGACAGCCCGTACGGGCGACGCGACGGGCAGGCAGGGCGGACAGGCGACGCGACGGGCTGCAGGTGCGCACGGCGCGACGGGCAGCCGGGGCGCGCGACGCCAGGCAGAGCAGAGCGTGCGCGGGGCAGCGCAACGCGGGGCAGGGCAGGGCGTGCGCGGGGCAGCGCGACGCGGGGCAGGGCAGGGCGTGCGCGGGGCAGCACAACGCGGGGCAGGGCATGGCGTGCGCGGGGCAACGCGGCACGGGGCAGCAGCAGCAGGCAGCGCGAAGGCTGCAGGAAGGCGCGCGCAGCGTAGCACGTCACGGAGGCTAGGCAGGGCGCGCGAGGGGGGCGCCGTGCAGGCAAGGCAGAGTGCGCGCAGGCGGCGCAGCGCAGGCAAGACGTCGGGTAGCTCAGTAACCGCAACGGTAGGTGGGCCCGAAAAAAAAGACGGTCCTACGGACCTACTGCTCTGATACCATGTCAGAAACTACTAGCAGGAATGAATGAACTAGGTCAGAGTTTGGTACCTCACTACAGCCTACACATATATAACACATGTATAATTTAACACGAAGTCCAAGCTGAAGAAGATGAAGACGCTAAACGCTGAAGTTGTGATTTTACATAGCATCCGCACCAAAGCCGTGGAGTTTCAGACGAAGTACCCGTTGCTGAGTGCGAACGAGATGGGTACATGGTCCTTGCACGCTTACCACCATCTGCTTTGGGGCCATGCTTTACAGCAATTGCGGGTGATATGATTATCTGAGTGCTCTTCAAATGATTTTGACGGCTGCGCTGGTTGTGTTCAACCAAATAGATTTTAGTAGCAACAAGAGGTGTCACGAGGCATCTCCTGACGTCCAGACAAATTGAGCACGCCAGTGGTTGCAACAATCTATATTCAGCTATGTGCTGTCTTTATGGAACTTATCACCCTCCTTCGCAAACTGTAGTGGGTCTCAACCAGAGTTGTTTGGGGGCAGTCTCTGATATAGTCACAAGGCTTGGGTGTGCCAAAAACGAAAGATTGCCTTCAAATAGATCAAGCACCTGCACTTTTTTTCACGGCAATAACTAAAGCAATCGCTTACACAAGAGAAGCATGGTAAGCACAAGAGTAGACGAGGCACAACAGATGCAAATGGGGCCGATGTATCAACTGCCATCAACCTCCATGCCTCATTTATTTTCCATTGGTTGCTAATCCTGCAAAGACATTACACCTTGCACACCATTCCACCGTTCCACGCCAAGCGCATTCTAGAAAGGAGTGGACCCAAGCACATTGCCTGCCGGCGAGTAGTCGCACACCCACATGCACCCCCCATCCGCACACTGGGCAGCACCGCACCCCACGTGTGTGGTATCCCGCCACACCACCTGCGTGTAGTGCAAGCACTGCTTGCCAGCAGCACACCCCTGCGGCACGGGGCTGTATGACCAGTCCGCCTGCTCCGCCACCCACGACTGCACGGCCGCCCGGTCCTCCTCACTGCTCAGCTGCACAGGGCCCTTCCAGTACAGGTTCTGCCCAAGCCCATCCGCTCCTCCATGCTCCATCACGCATCCTCTAGAGGCAAGGTTGTTCGCCCATGCCTGTGCCGTTGCTGCCACCCCATCATCCCATGAGAGGTCCGGCACACCCACTTCCCGCCGGGCCTTGTTGTGCTCCTCCAGAATGGCTGCCACGTCCACAGCTGCTGCTGCTGCTGCTGCTGCCACCGCTGCTGCCGGTGTCACCGCCGGTGCTCGTGTCACCGCCGGTGCTCGTGTCACCGCCGGTGCTCGTGTCGCCGCCGGTGCTCGTGTCACCGCCGGTGCTCGTGTCACCGCTGGTGCTCGTGTCACCGCCGGTGCTCGTGTCACCGCCGGTGCTCGTGTCACCGCCGGTGCTCGTGTCACCGCTGGTGCTCGTGTCACCGCCGGTGCTCGTGTCACCGCCGCTGTCAGTGCAGCCATCCGAGTTTAATTCGTCCAGCTGCCTGGGATTGGAGGCTCGCAGCAGCAGCTTGCGAGGCGCAGTGACGCTCTCTAACTGGCCGGTGCTGCTGATGGGTGTGATGCTAGCGGAGGTGACTCCGGCGAGAGCTGGCATGGCGAGTGCAGATGTGACTACTGCGAATACTGCAGACAGACAGGGGTCACGAGTGGAAATGGGAGGAGAGGGAATGAAAGAGGCGAAGGCGTTAAGAGAAAATGATAGAAGAGGGTAGGAGGGGAGAGGGGCAATTATTAGAAGGAAGAACAGGAGAAGAACGTTCATAAGAACGAAGGATGGAAAGAATTATTCAAGAAACGGAAGGAGGGGGGAGGAGGAGAGATTGAAGGAAGGAAGAGGAAGGAAGAAAGAAGAAAGGAGGGGAGATGAAAGGAGGGGAGATGACAGAAGGAAGGGGGGTTCACGGAGGGGTGAGGAAACGAGGAACGGAGAGGGAAGAAACCGGAGTGGAACGAACAGGTGAGAGGAACAGAAAGGGAGATAGGAAGGGCAGTAACAAATCTGACTATCAGCAACTTAGCACTCACTGACCAACTCTAACCACAACGGATTTGCTGACTCACTCTCTAACCTCTCTACCCAACAACAATGCTTCCGGCTTTCATCCTGTTCCAAACCGGATCCGAGAACTCACCCAACGCGGCGCAAACGGAATTCAACATTCGGACGACGGCCATAGTCAGAGATTCCGATTCTGTCAGTCGAGGATAGGCAGGCCGTCTGTAAGCTGAGAGCTTGTGAAGAGAACTCTCACTGACTGAATTAACCTGTCAGGATGGTAAAGAGAGACTGAACTCTGAGCCTGATTGGGTCAGACAAGGCTGGAATGGCAAGAGCGAGCGGGCTGGTGAAACTACGGCGAGAGATGATTTGAGGGTAAAAGGCAGCTCCATTATGTAGGTTAAGGTCGCGATTCCAGACGGAAACGGACAACCGAGACGTCGTTGCTCCGTCGGAGCCAAAGTAGGTCGCACGAGTGCGACTTCGTAGATATGAAACGTCGCAAAGCTGTTTCTAAGGGCAATCGGAAATCTCTAGCAGATGTGCTACGAGCAACCACAGGACCCGTCGGCAATGACGCCTGAAAGGCGACGCGGCGCCGCGTAGATCAGAACAAACCCGACGTCGTGCGAAAATAATCTCGCGGCTTGGTGTGGAGAGAACAAAACCAACTGTGTTCTGTCTGGACGGAAATTGTGATGTTGCCGAAGCGCAACCAGCAGGCACAAATAATTGCGCTGGTAGGGAAGGTGAGTGCGGCTTACTGGCGTCTCGTTTACAGTCCATGTGTGCCCAGACCGGTGCCGTAACGGTTCGGCACGGTGATTAGAATCTGCTACAAACATAATTATCTGGATACAAAATTGTCCACAATGCTATTTATCCATGTCCCTTCCCTTCTGCCATTACCGGTATTCACTACAAACGAGAAAAGAGATGAATAATACAAAAAAAAATTATCCTGCAAACATAGCAGTATAAGCGCATACAAGCACAGTGCACAAGCACATGCGCTTAACGTATTGCACACTAGGAGCCAAGAGTCCTACAAAAGGAAAAAACCAAGGTCAATGAACGAGTTAGTTGATAACCTCCACGTTTGTGACGGTACTGACCGACGCGCGGGTGAGGACAGAAACTGTTCAATTTACAAGAAGCACTTGCATGGATCAAATGGTCGGTCCCATCCCGATTCCCATCCAGGGCTGATTTTATCAGGGTAATTACCCTGATTTCAGGGTGATTTCAGGCTTTCCACTTTGCAGAGACTAAGATTTCAGAATTACTAAGTTCTAAACCCTGTTCAAATCAGAGTATTAGTTTTCCTATCCCTGATTTTGAGTATAGTGTAACAAACTAGCCTGTTGGTGGACCCTGACTTAATAGGGTATCGAATCTGTGGTCCCTTATTTTGACCTTATCGAGAGAAAGTTTCTCGAAAATTTCCTTTCGATATCCTCTTTCGGGCCCTGTTCTGTTGCCGCACCACTTGGTGCGCCCCCCTCCTGCACAGCACCAAATTGATGCTGCTTCCGAGGTTCTACCGGTATTCCTACAAGCTTCGTTTTCGAGGGCGTATTCCAGGATACCAGGGTCGGGAAACTGAACCCCTTCCCGGACCTAACGAGTGCTGTGCAGTCCTGTCCGCCCTCCTTTGCCCAAAAGAACGGTGAATCAGTGAAGCACTCGCATCCCCCTCTCCCAGGCAAAATGGGTGCGGGGGTGGTGCGCCCCTGGTTCAGAGTCAGAGGGGAGATCCAGGGTTTGTACCAAGTGGATCAGGGCAGGAATAAATGTTTTCCCTTTGTCCTGGTTGGCCGCTTTGCTTACAGGCCAACCAACTATCCAATGGTTGGTGACGAGAGGAGGTTTTACGGTCTGCGGAGGAAAAAAAAAACCGTTGTCCTAAAATTGCTCGGAGGGGGGCACGAAGACAGTGTGAGCCTTAAAAAAATTTGGCTTCGGAAGCGTCTTGGTGAAGATGTCTGCAGTGTTGGCCTCGGACTCCACAAACTCGAAGCGAGCCTGTCCACGTCTCTGCAACTCTCGCAGAAGGAAGTACCTGACGTTAAATGTGCTTCACTCTGCTCTCCAGTCGCGGCTCTCGACAAAGGAGAATCGATGCCTTGTTGTCAGTGAACAAGGTCGGTGCAGAGCTCGGCCGCTCACCAAGGTCGGCGAGCAAGAACGTCAACCAACGAAGCTCCTGTGCCGCCATGGCACCAGCGTAGATCTCAGCCTCAGCTGTAGAGGTCGAGACCGAAGAGGAGCGCGTGGACCGCCAGGAAACAGCTCCAGAACCCAGGCTGAAACAGTACCCCTGAGTAGACCTGTAAGTCTCAGCGTCGTCAGCGTAAGAAGAGTCACAGTGACCAGTAAGTACGACAGACTGCTGCCCTCCAAGAACTAGCCCCACGCCTGATGTCGTCGCTAGGTACTTCGCCACCCTCACAGCTGCTATCCAGTGAACAGGACGGTGTCTCCCTGGCGCAACAAAGCGCGCAAGGATGCTGAGAGGAGAAGCGAGGTCCGGGCGAGTACAAGTCATCAGGTACATGAGGCAACCCACAAGCTCTGCGTAGGGACCACTAGGCTCAAACGGCTCGTCAGGAAAGGGTCCAGTGAGTCTGTGGTCAACAGCAAGAGGTGTGCGCTGTACTGTGGAGTGCTGAAGCCCGAACCGCTGAAGGACCTGCTGCACCATGTGTGACTGTGAGAGTGTAATGGTGCGAGCAGCTCTGTCCCTAGTGATCTGCAGGCCAAGGTAGTGGCACAGCTCACCAAGGTCAGTGCACGTGTGTCTCTTCTGCAGTTCGGACTTCACGTCTGCCAAAGCAACCCTGTCAGCAGTGGCGAAAACGAGGTCGTCGACGTAGACCAGAACGAAGAACGGTGTGGAGCCACAACGAACGAACAGCGACGGGTCGGCAGAAGACGGCTGGAACCCAAGGTCAGAGAGGGTAGAGCGGAGAGTGTCGTGCCACTCACGAGGGGCCTGGCGAAGACAGGTCGCCTCAGCCTCCACTGGGTCCCAGGAGGGAAAGTGCCAGTGAAGGCAGAGGGACGACACAGCCAGACCTCCTCGTGTAGGCTGCCCTGACGTAGTCTCTCTGTGCTGCAACGTGCAGCAACACCCGAAGAGTGGTCATCTTCGGGGTAGGCGCGAAGGTCTGAAAGAAGTCAACTCCCTCGCGCTGACTGAAACCTCTAGCCACGTAGCGCGCCTTGAAGACCGGAGGAGATCCCGGTGGCCGCTTCACCCTGTAGATCCACATGCCATCGACTACGTTCGTCCCAGGGGGAGGAACCTCATCGACGTAGGTGCCTGTGGATCTGTAGGAGGCCATCTCTGCGTCCATGGCAGCTCTCCACTGAGAGGCCCAAGGCCCTGACACTGCCTCAGCGTAAGTGCGAGGAGTCGGAATGTCAAGGGCGTCGGGGTCACCCTCAGGGGCGAGGAGCATGGCACAGAGATGAGGGGAAGCGGCTGCCAGGAACTCTAGCTCAAACTGCCTGTCCTCTAGGGCGTCACAGCCAAGGGCAGACACACCCCCGACGGCCAGAGGACTGGTAGGAGGAGCAGCCACAAGAGTGGTGGCGTAGTCAAGGCGGCGAGTAGAGGCAAACTCAGTGACCGCGGCAGTAAGAGCGGAGACAGAGGACAAAGAGGCACGAGGGTGGGTAACAAGAGAGGCGAGAACACGAGAGAGAACAGGACGGTACGTGCGGTAGTAGTCAGTGACAGGGGTAGAGAGAGAAGCTGTGAGGGCCGACTCAGGAGGAGAAGGAAGCACAGGAGGAGCCGAACGAGGCGGACTAGAACGCAACAGGGCTGTACGAAGGTCAGTGAAAGGAACAGGGGACGAGGGACGAGCACGAGGAGAGCGACGAGTAGGCCAAGGACGAGACGGAGGAGGAGACGACAAAGGCGGAGAACTGGGGAAAACAGCGGGGGAGGAGTCAGGAGGAGGAAACGTGGGACCGTAGACAGGAGGAGAGGGGGAGGAGGAAGGAGAGCGAGAGGGGAGACCAAGGGTCCGAAGACCCGAGACAGGAGGAGGAGGTGGCTGCTGCTGCTGCTGCTGCTGCGGCTGGTGCTGCTGCTGCTGCGGCTGCGGCTGCTGCTGGGACTGCTGCTCCTGCGGCTCCAGCTGCTGCTGCTGCTGCTCATGCGGTTCTAGCTGCTGCTGCTGCTCCTCCAGCCGCTGTAACTCCCTCTCCTCTCTCTCCAACTCCAGCTGCTCCTCACGGGCACGGTGAACGCGAGCCTGGAGCCCAGTCGGGTAGGGGTGGGGGGGCGGAGTAGTGTCCGGGGCAGCGGCAGCCCCAGAGTCCACCTCCGAAGCACCAGGCGCACCACCCCCAGAGGCAGCACGAACATCAGCGCCAGACCCAGGCTCATCAGAACCCGACGGGGGCGCACCCTCACCCCCAGACGGAGCACCCCCAGTGTCCGCGCGACCAGCACCAGCTCCCGGAAGACAAGAGTCCTCTGCACCCACCGGCTCAGCTCCAACTCCAGCACCCCCAGAACCAGAAACCGGTACAGGAACAGGCTCAGCACCAACCTCTCGAGAGCTAGCACCTGCAGCACG